GGTAATGTTTAACAATTTAAGTTTTACTTTTGGTTCTTATTTAGTCTAAAATTAATTAAATTTAGTACCTTTAATTAAAATAGAATGATGATATAAGATAATCTCTGAGATAGATGTATATTAAGAAATGTCAAGAAATGTTTATAAAACACTGAGATAATAATTTTGGATGAGAGCACGTTGGTTACTCAAATTTCATTTTTACTTTTCTGCCTGGATTTATTTAGAGTCTGGAACAATTTTTAAACTGAGCAAAGTTGTAATTCTTTACTACAAAAAGATTAAACCAAAAAAAAAAGTTGGAATGAATCCCAGAAGTTGGGCTCAATGAGGACATTATTAAAACTCCCTCTGAGACATCCACTGGAAGCTTAGATTTGTTTAGCAAGCATTTTTTAAACTCCTACTGTGTGATTGGGTATAAAAGTCTATTTAAAAGCTGGTTTAGGTGAATGACCTTGAACTCAAGGACCTTGAAACTTTATATGGAAAAAAAGTGAAATATTAAAAACACAAAACAAGAAAGAAAGGGATGAATAAGCAGAGGGAATTGAGGGCAGGGATATGATTCTGTTTGAGAGTCCAATGGTAGATACATGTGATTTTATACTTGTGAGAACCCAACTCCAAAAGTGAATCTTAAGTCAATCATCTGTGTGGTAACATTGTGTGGGTGTAGGTTCTCCAGTTATAATAACAATGTATAACTGTGGTTCAGGATGCTCCTAGCAGAGAAAATTGATGTTATATGGAAGGAAGATATAAGGGAATTCTATTTCTCCATTTTACTGTGAATCTAAAACCACCTTATAATTCAAGTTTTTTTTTTTTAAATCAAAAAAGAAAAAAAAGATAAGAAGATGTATCCCTAGGAACTTCTAAAGAGTATTCATCCCAAATACATATTGCAAGTGTAAGGACAATGAGATAGTAATGTTTCAGGGTTGTCTTAAAGAATTTTTGTTTTTTATTTTTTGTTTAGTTTTGTCCATTACTAGAACAGAGGAAGAAGACATGAAAAACACTGCTGAGGCAAAACCAAAACGAAACAAAACATGAAAAAACCCAAAACATGTATTCCCAACCCCACTGGCAGACACTTCTACTTTTCATGGTACCAGATGAGGACTCTGCTGCCAAGTTATTTAGTAGTCTAACAGTTAGTGTTATACTAATTGTCAAGACCAGTGATAACAAGAGACACTCATTAGCACTGGGATTTTACACATATCCACATCATGTTATCATCCGTGCTTGATTTAGAAATGGGATAAGGGACTAGTTCAGCTTTGTCTGATGTTTAGTTGGTGGTTTATAATGCCATCAGAGAAATACTCTGTTTAGTTTAGAACCATTATGTTTTTCAACTGCGTTCACTCACCCTTTGTTATCCATACTGATTACTGAGAGCGTTCAATCAGACAATTACTCAGGAAATGGTCACATATTTTTCGTAACTAATTTTGGCTAACAGCAAAGGAATGAAACAGCTGTATCAACCACAATGGGTTCTTTTGGTGAGTCGAATATTTCTCATAAAAATGTCACGATTATTATCAGTGCTAGAATGGCTAAGGAAGGCAAAGGCTCACTATTCATTCTATTTTTCTTCTTTTGATCACTATTATTTGATTGTGTGCTCCAAATACTCTCTAGACAAGGTGGGTAATATAAATGGGCAGCAGAATGCTGTGCTCAGTCCTTCACCGTAGAGTTCTCAGAAAAACACATAGGCCCCACTGTGGCTTAGGTTCCAAGACCCAAGTGAAGCCCACACCTTGAGCAGGATCACTATCCTGCAATTTGACAAATTAAGTAATTGCTGGAGATCCAGAGGAAGCACTGGTGTGGGGGGAGGGGAGGGATGTAATTAGACGTGATTTTCATTCTACTAGAGAAATCTCACTATGAGAATGAAAAGTTAGACTTACACTTTAAAGAGTAATTTTATCTGTTTGTTTCAGAACTATCCATCTAAATTAAAATAGACTATGGCATTTGTTTAAATTGAGAACAGTTTCAACAGGTACCCCACCAAGAGAAAGCACAGAAAGAGGTAAGAAGGTTTCCAAAATTTTGTGAGTTTATCATGTGACTCAAGTGAGAGAAAGACAAGTAGGAAAGGCAACTTTCCCATCTGGATGGCTAAGGCTGCGATGTATGGATATTCCTTTGTACAGGTTTACCAACAATGACTTTCTCCAAACACAGGGTCATTTTTCCCCCCCACAGGGTCATTTTTATCCAAAGAGATAAGTAGCTGAAACTACAGAAAGTGATTTACACAGCCTGACTTTCAATCATTCATTCATTCAACAGTTACTCAGAACACAATAGACAGGAGGCATGTAATTAATGCGTGCAGTTAAGTACCAAGGTCACTGTTCCCAAAAATTTAACAACTTAAAGGCAAAGAAGAAAAACACATTGCACCTAAATATGCCTTTTAGAGCACTAAATACCTTGATTCTAATAGAACAGAAAAAAATGTCACTATCTAAATGAGTTGCCACTGTCTAAACAAGTTGTCTGAGGATGATTACATTTTGGGTTCTTTCGTTTTTGTTTCCAGTTTTCATTTATACTGTTGAGTACATATTGGAAGCTTAATAAATACTTCTGACTTCATTTGCACAAAGTAAGCCATTTCATTCAGCTGTTGGCTACTTTGGTCAGGTAAGTTCCTTCCCAGTAATTTGAATGATACAGGGTTGTCCAGGAAAGGAAGTTTTACAGCTGCTAGCTCTCCTTTCCTGGACCACTAGTGAACCTACATTTGAGCACACATGGCAGACCCATCAGGTCATACAATGCTAGGTTGGTCCTCAGTGTGGAATGAAGTTTAGAAGAGTTGGCCTTCAGATTCTACTAAAGATGAACGGACTCAGGCTGTGGAGTTAGATATGTCATGATTTATTTCTGAGCTGTATCACTTACTAGCAATCTCTTTATTCTTTCTGGCCCTCGATTTCTTGGGCTATAAAATAAAAGACATTCTTGTATTTTGAAGACAGTGTCTGGCTACGTAGTTTAGGCTGGCCTCAAACTCACAGTCTTCCTGCCTGAGCCCCCAGAGTGCTAGGATTATAAGCACATGCCAACATGCCTGATTAAATGAGAAGCTATGTTGTACAAAACTGAAGAAAGAATTAAGTGACATAACTTAGGCCAAAATGCTTATATTAAATATGGGCAGTGACTCTGGGATTTCATTTATTGTTTCCTCCACTAAAGGTGCATCATTATTTCTACTGCTTTTAGGTTTAACACAAAGCAGCCAAAATACTCTGGTAGCACTATGCATGCAGGGTTTCCTAAGAACAGAATTGTATAATCAGCCTTTACATTGCTCAGTTTCAGTATATAAAACAAGAGAAATACGCAATCTCTATCTGCATAAATGTGGACTTCAAGTCATCACCATTCACTACAGGAACCTGGTAACAGTAAGCCATCCTGATTGTCAGTCCTCAAGTTAGCAGAGTAAGGAAGTGGGTAAGGCTTTGTCCTAAATCTTCTCATGCTCACTGTACAGCACTGACTTTTTTGAGGTGGGTAGCAAACAAAGGTTTTACTTTATTTGTTTTTGAGGTAGCCCAGAGTGGCCTTAATCTTACTCTATAACCTAAGCTGGCCTAGAACTAAATGATCCTCCTACCTTAGCCTCCTGAGTACTGAGTATTGACAATACAAGCAAGTGTTACTTCACCAGACTTAACAGACTGTTTATGACTACCACTCGCTTTGTGGGTATAACATGGCATTGTTTTAGAATTGCGTGTGTAAGCACACACAAGCATACACATAGACATTCAGTAAATTATTTATATGTCATTCTCCTATTGTACTTTCTGCTTTGAGAGCTACTTATAACACCCAGAAGACGAGGAAAATCCAAGTTAATACTTATGAACAGATGGTTACATATAAACCTTAGAGATACGCTTTGAATCAGACAACAACTTAAAAAAAATCCTGCCTAATCCTAGAAATCACGTAAGAGGTAATTATTCTATATTAAAGAATCTAAGTACAAAGTAACTTCTGTTTTCCCTGAATCTTTTCACTAATCGTATTTGAAGGCTATTTGACGGTTTCTTTCTGGAATTTAGCAAAATGGCAGGCATATAACAAGCAATTCATAACATTTTATCCAAAATTAATAAATCTGTTAAAATCTGATGTGAATTTTATGACAAATTAAATTCCAGAAATAAAACTTGCCTAGAAATTATGTGGCAGAATCAGTAATCAGATCAATAAATTCATAGTTTCTATGGATCAATTTACAAAACATTATACTGATCTGCTTACTACCATTACTCTTCTTCATTTGTGTAATAACTAAAAGACAGAAATGAAGCCATTAAGTCCAGCTTATTCAACTAGGCAAGGATGTTGCCAATTATAATGTTTGGCCTAGGAAGCATTTATGTTCTGTCTTCTCAATTCGCATATATACGTGCCGTTTGAAATTACCAGGAAGGAAATATTTAGAAGACCTGGGTGTGCTGGCAAGACCCATGGATTTTACTTCCATCTGTTTCACCAGGTTCACACCATTTTGTGGACAGGAACTACTAAATATCTCAAGCAGCAGAGACTAAAGGCAGTGTTGTGTCATTGTACCAGGTTCCAATGAGGAAGCTGTCATAGGAAGGATGGTCACTGTCTCCCTGTACTTTCCCCACATAATATATTCCAATGAAATGAAGCTGAGTTGCCCAGATAAAACACTGAACACTAAAACAGAATCATATGTAGGCAGGTCATAATTTGAGTACACATTTTATTTTAAGTCTGTTATCTACCTTCTACTGAAGCGAAAATCTATTGAACTTTATCTACAAGGTTTCACTTATTCAGCTTCCTTTTCGTTGAGATAAATGGATATTTTCATTTCTTTGCTTAACCACTAAAAAAAGTTATGCAAACATTTCCCATTTAAAAAAAATACATCCCTCCAATATATGAAATCTTAGGGCCTTCTGGACACTTACCTAAACCAGACTTTTTTAATCGTTTTAAGTGCTGACTTGTTTGTCTTCCAGTTGGAGATTTTTGCCCATGTTTCATTTCTTTATCTGAACTGTCTGCTTCACCATTTTTAGATTCAGATCCTTAAAAAAAGGAAATAGTTATTATGCCATTATCTTCTTCTCACTGTCCTTGAAAAGAAAAATCTAAAATTGTTTTAAGAACTGTAGATATAATCTTTTTCCCCCTAACAGTTAATATACTACCTTTGGCTACAATCTGATTCCCCTACTGGATATAAAGAGAACAGCCCAATAAATCAATCAAACAGGACAAAAAGCAAGAACAGATGGCCTAATAGCAGAGTCAAAAACGCATTCAGCAATCTGATAGCTTTTAAAAGAAATAGAGTCAGATCTTTTGTAAAAAAAAAAAAAAGTCATGAATAAGCTTGAACAATGCAGTGACATTTAGAGACGATGCTAGACAGAAACAGAACGATGAAGGAAGAGGAGGAGGGTTGTGAAGAAAGGGAGAGATTAGACCTTTATAAATAACTTTACGTTGAAGAAGGAGCAGAAAATGCAAGCATTAATCTACAATAAATAGGATGGTACACAGCTGATAACGTGACAGGAGGTGAATTAGAAGAAAAGGTCAGAGCTGCACTGAGGTGAGAAGAATGTTGCTAGAACACACAAACTAATAAAGGATTCAGGATTTTTCAGCACAGGACTGACAAACAAATTCACACTCACGAAGAGCTGCCTTTGATGGAGTTACACATCAGCATGTGGTCCACATTTAGAGCTGAACATTCGAACCAAAGCTAAAGCAGCAACAACTAAATCTATCTAACCTTGCCGTACATTTTCTCACACCTCCTGACACTAGCAAATGAAGTCATTTGATGATGAGCAAGCTGGTGTCTTTTATATTAATAAGAAAATCTGTAAAATATTCTATATTTTTGAGTCACTGAAAGAGTTGAAGACATTTTAAAAAAAAACAGAGCAGAACTCAAGTGGAAGTATTATTCAGTTTCAGGAGAAAAAGAAAAAAAATACATCTCTCTCCAGGAGGAAGGCTCCTCCGGAAAGAAACTGGCCAAGCATACAATATTTTAGCTGTTTACCTGAAGGTGAATCTGACTGCTCATCAGACACCTTTAATGGTGTTAAAACAACACGAGGAACAGTCTTGTTTACCATCATTGAGACTCCATTTCTTCTTTTCTGCTGCTGCCTCAAAGCCTATAAAAAATGATAATAAAATATCACATGAAAAGGTAGCCACAATAATTTCTCATGATTGAATTAAATGATCCACTTGCCCATCATTAACTAGAACCTCTTAAGAGAACTTAAATTCCACAGAGCTCTTAATTTGTCAGGATTCACCCTCGTGCCATTTTTTTTCCCTTCAAAAGCATTAAATGGAGCTTTGGCAAAAGAGCATAAGTCTGAGACCATTTGCAGTAAAATTCTGACAGCAGAGCATCACTTTCTGGTTTATTCTACCTTAGCGGTGTGGCTTGAGAGCCCATGGAATCTGAAAGTATGACTCCCAAGTAAAATAAATGTAAAATAAATGTTTCAAAACCACGATGAAAATACATGTGTCTGCACTTCTCATGCAGGTGCGCCGTCTCCGGTGCGCTGCTCCGTCAATCAGTTAACACCGAGTGTCATCAGTATGTACAGCATGTAAGAACTACTGTATTGATGCATTCGCTCAGCCGTGGGGAGCACTGCACAAAATCACTGAACATGGCAGGAATCATTTATTTCTGTGAAGGGAATCAGTCCTAATCTTGGAAACCTTGCAGCACTTGGCTTCTGTCTGCTTGACTTTGGGCATTAACCTTCAGAACACGAACATGACAGCATTTGGGCAAATCCAAGAATAATAATAAAAAAAACATATAAAAATAAATCTCTCTAAATGGGAGTGTTTTGTGTTAAATAAATGAACTGACTGTGGTGATGATAATGTAATAAAAGACATTTAAAAGTTTTGAAATACAGCTTTATCTAGCTGATTGCTTAATGCAGAAAATTACCTGTAATAAAAAAGAAAGGTCTGAAGCACTACAGAAACAGAAGACCCATTAAATTCACAGTCACAGGAATGCTAAAATTCCCTCAAGAGGTTAAAAGGCTGGCCTCAGACAGTCTAAAACATTTTAATTCCTGGTTTCTGTGTAATTCCTACCAATTTTACAACATTTCAGTTACTTGATTAATGTCCTTTGACTAACCGTTGTCAGAATGTCTTGAAATATTACATTGGCTGTACATTCCCTTGCTGTCAAAAACGATGTCCTGTTATTTGCACAAGGTATTAGCTGAATGTTCAACTTGTTGACCATAAGATTTACCAATCAAATAATTACAGAAGTGAAAAATTAAATACCACTTAAATGAGAAAAGGAAAATTCAGATGAGAATTAAAGCCAGATGAGAAATGAAAGGGTTGGAAAACCTACTATAAATTATGTGTCTTCTAATGATAACACTAGACATATTTCCTTTGATTGTTATTTTATAGCATTTTATAAAGTACCTGACAATATGGGAGGACCACAGATATAAAGATTAACATGATCTATTCTTCAAACCTTTAGCCTTTTGTCAATAATAAATTTAATGAGAGCATATGTGCTATAAAATATTTAAGACATTTATTTTTTCCTCAAGGCATAGACATAATCGCACATAAATTGTGTGCATGCTTGCATAAATCTCTCTAGTCTTGGATAAGAATGAAGACCCTTTGAAGATTTCAATCTAACAATCCAATAATACAACAGAATGAAGCAACACAAGGCTTTAACTTACGTTAAGGCCTTCTTTGTTCACTGTGTAAAACTTCATGAGAAAATAAAGGCTATGCCTATTGTAGTCAATTTTTAAGGGTATGCACACACATATGAAGTTAGAGGATTTATTTTACAAATATTGGTTAAGGAATATATATATATAAATATAAATATATATATATATATATATATATATATATATATATATAAAATATAACCAGTGGCCTAGAATCTGAAATCAAAAGTTAAAGATTTTCTTTTTGGGAGTGTTAGTGCAAACTATGGTGGTAAACTAAAGCTACTAAAATATTGTAATAGATTTCTAGAGCAGAGAAAACACTACTGATAAAAAGTTAGCAATCAGAAAGAAAACCACAATAGAAATGATAACTTCTATAAATAGGCGTTTTCTACTCAGAAAAGCCAAACAATATTTCTCTACACAATATTTCTTTGTATTTTTTACTGTTATTGTAAAATGTGGTGAGCACGTGATGAGTACGTTTCTTTTTGAGCAGTGTCGCCTCTACCTTTTTTACTCCTCCTGACCCCCTACCTCACAAGGTGTCTAGTTCATTGTCAACATAGTGTTTGATGAGTATCACTGCTGCATTTGTGCATCATTTGTCCCAACATTTCTGTGCTCCCTCTTCCTTCTCCAAAACAGATAAACTTACATACAAGACAAAAGGTACAGAAATCATAACCAGCAACAATGGAGAGGAAAAAAAAGCAAAATAACAACAACAACAAAATAAAAACCCTTGTTTCCACTTCTTGGAGTTCATTTCGATAAACATCATTTTATACGGTCATATGCACATCACTATTGAGGTTTTACATAATATATTTTTTAAAGAAAGCACTGACCTGTACCACTGTCCTTGCAGATGGTTAAAGCTAAACACTAGGGGCTGGGAAGGTGGCTCAATGGTAGAGTGCTTGCTTTGCATGCATGAGGCTCTGGGCTCGGTTCCTCAGCTACCACATCAGCAGAAAAAGCCTGAAGTGGCACTGTGGTTCAAATGGTAGAGAGCTAGCTTTGAGCTGAAGAGCTAAGGGACAGTGCCCAGGCCCAGAGTTCAGGCCCCAAAACCAACAAAACAAACAAACAAACAAAAACAACAACAAAACTAAACACTAATCATATAAGAGAAATAATTAGTATCTTAAAACTCTGTTTTGCTGTCAAAAATAAACATATTAATTCCTTTTTTTGGAATAAGTACACTTGTTAAAAAAAGGAGAAGTGTCTGTTTTCTCTGACACTAATAGTATTAGGAAAACAAAAGATTTCAGGTAAACTCAGTGTGCCAGGATTTCGTCACCAAAAAGACAAAGGAACATATCTTGATTTTATAATCTAGAGGCAATAACTTCAGACTGAGCCTGTGGCTGCCTTGAAGAGTCCAGTTTGCTTTCCAGGAAGTAGAACTCAGTGGACACTGGACACTGGGAGGTCAGAACATGGATAGAAAGAGAAAACCCAACATTGCATTCTCCATGGAGATACTAGGATAGTCATGCTTTCAGGTACAAGGTATTTGGTGACACTATAAACAATAGCACCTGGACACCGTTCCTGTCCACTAGGCTCCTGGTCTCTGGTGGTGGGCCATGAACTCTGCAAAGAAAGATTTTTGCTTTTGTAACTTTATTTCTATATCTATGAGCATATCAACCATTTAAGCTTTCACTGAAAGTTTCCTTTTCATAGTCCTTTAAAAATAAAAATAAGAAAGCATGAAAGGCCCTTTGTGCCAGGTTGTCTGAGGGATAAGAACAGACTAAGACTAAAGTGAGCAGAAATGCATATTCTGATTCTGAAGGGCAGCTTCAACTTAAGAGAAGCATCAAATCTAGATTGAAGTGACTGATTGATTGATAGAGCAACACTAGGGACTGAAGCCAAGCTTCTGCATCTGAAGCTGTCCTTTAACTTGTGAGCCTTGAACTCTCCAATCTTCCTGAGTGCTGGGATTGAAGGTATGTATACCACATATGCCCGGTTCCATTCTTAAATTTTAGGTGAGTTTTCCTGTTTTAAATAATACATCAGAACAAATGGCTATACCTTAAAAATGTATCAGAACAAGTGCATATATCACTGGGTGAGTTTCAGCCAGTGGGCAGCAATGCTTGGTATAACTGACATTTCTCAGCACTCAAATGAGGGAGTCTGCATCAATATGGGTGTTAAAATCCTTCTGCTCTAAGGTGCTATGGAGGAAGCGGGGCCATGGCAGAGCTCTTTAAAAGTTGTGCATGCAACTAAGAAGGCTGTTCAGTGAGAGAAAGATTGAATTAGCTGTGCAAAGCTGGTTATGTCACCTGTCCTTGTGAAGCAGAGTCAATAGAGTGAGCAAGGTATGTAAAAGAAAAAGCAAATGTACAGAACAGGTGTACCACAAAGTAAATACTCAATAAGTGCCATTGTCTTATTCACATATTGTATCTACACCATAACAAATACAGATTATGATAGCAAACTCCATTATCCTGAACATCCATAGCAATGACCAGAAAAAGATTTTTTAAATTATTTCATGTTTTAGTGAAGAGAAACTCAGGAGAGGATCTAAAGAAGGGGGAGCCCAAAAGGGCCTGTCTCTGGGGGTAACAAAGGTAATTTGTCATTACCAGCAATGAGAAAACTGTGGTCCCTACTCAGGGAAAGAAGTTGTATCAGAACCTGTATAGCAAAAAGGATCTTTGGGAGTTCAGGAAATAGAACAGAAGCTAGAGTGGCCATAAACAAGGGCTAGGAAGTCACAGAGATGGCAAAATCGTCCCCCAAATGGTGGTCACAGGCCACTAAGAAACAAGGAACTGAGGTTCACTGAATGGGTAGGCCTTCACCTCAGGCTTTCCGCACTGTGGTACCTTTCTTACGCACCAGAGATGTGAGAAGGCAGAGCAAAGAGGAGGCAACAAGGAATTTTCAACCATGGTCTTTTATGACTTTATTCCGTTTTTTTAAAATTAGATTTCACTGTATGAAAAGCGCTGCATCCTAAAACTGGACAAGTTTCTTAATTATTCCAGTCAGTTTGAGGTACTGCTTTAAATAGGTATAAGCCTTCCTTTGTATTACCCTTCCTTCTATACACTCTTCTCTTCTTTGTCCAAATGGTATATCTCCTCAGCTACTTCAAGTCTTTGTTCAGAACTATTTCCACACTATATTTTTCTCCCCTACAACCTATTCTGCTTTCTTTCTCATCATGGACTTTTTACCTTCTGGTATATTGCACCATGTCATGTCCCTATTCAGGCCCTACAAAAGACAGGCACGTTTTGATCTCTTTTGTTTACTGATATATCCTGAGTATATAGGAAAGCTTCTGGCATATATGCATTATTCTGGAAATCACTATCACATCAGAAAGAAAACTTGAAAATTATTTATTCATTTATCATTTCAAAGGCAGA